ACTCATTGTCTCTCTGAGTAGTAACTCATTGTCTCTCTGAGTAGTAACTCATTGTCTCTCTGAGTAGTAACTCATTGTCTCTCTGAGTAGTAACTCATTGTCTCTCTGAGTAGTAACTCATTGTCTCTCTGAGTAGTAACTCATTGTCTCTCTGAGTAGTAACTCATTGTCTCATCTGAGTAGTAACTCATTGTCTCTCTGAGTAGTAACTCATTGTCTCTCTGAGTAGTAACTCATTGTCTCTCTGAGTAGTAACTCATTGTCTCTCTGAGTAGTAACTCATTGTCTCTCTGAGTAGTAACTCATTGTCTCTCTGAGTAGTAACTCATTGTCTCTCTGAGTAGTAACTCATTGTCTCTCTGAGTAGTAACTCATTGTCTCTCTGAGTAGTAACTCATTGTCTCTCTGAGTAGTAACTCATTGTCTCTCTGAGTAGTAACTCATTGTCTCTCTGATCTGAGTAGTAACTCATTGTCTCTCTGAGTAGTAACTCATTGTCTCTCTGAGTAGTAACTCATTGTCTCTCTGAGTAGTAACTCATTGTCTCTCTGAGTAGTAACTCATTGTCTCTCTGAGTAGTAACTCATTGTCTCTCTGAGTAGTAACTCATTGTCTCTCTGAGTAGTAACTCATTGTCTCTCTGAGTAGTAACTCATTGTCTCTCTGAGTAGTAACTCATTGTCTCTCTGAGTAGTAACTCATTGTCTACTCTGAGTAGTAACTCATTGTCTCTCTGAGTAGTAACTCATTGTCTCTCTGAGTAGTAACTCATTGTCTCTCTGAGTAGTAACTCATTGTCTCTCTGAGTAGTAACTCATTGTCTCTCTGAGTAGTAACTCATTGTCTCTCTGAGTAGTAACTCATTGTCTCTCTGAGTAGTAACTCATTGTCTCTCTGAGTAGTAACTCATTGTCTCTCTGAGTAGTAACTCATTGTCTCTCTGAGTAGTAACTCATTGTCTCTCTGAGTAGTAACTCATTGTCTCTCTGAGTAGTAACTCATTGTCTCTCTGAGTAGTAACTCATTGTCTCTCTGAGTAGTAACTCATTGTCTCTCTGAGTAGTAACTCATTGTCTCTCTGAGTAGTAACTCATTGTCTCTCTGAGTAGTAACTCATTGTCTCTCTGAGTAGTAACTCATTGTCTCTCTGAGTAGTAACTCATTGTCTCTCTGAGTAGTAACTCATTGTCTCTCTGAGTAGTAACTCATTGTCTCTCTGAGTAGTAACTCATTGTCTCTCTGAGTAGTAACTCATTGTCTCTCTGAGTAGTAACTCATTGTCTCTCTGAGTAGTAACTCATTGTCTCTCTGAGTAGTAACTCATTGTCATTCTCTGAGTAGTAACTCATTGTCTCTCTGAGTAGTAACTCATTGTCTCTCTGAGTAGTAACTCATTGTCTCTCTGAGTAGTAACTCATTGTCTCTCTGAGTAGTAACTCATTGTCTCTCTGAGTAGTAACTCATTGTCTCTCTGAGTAGTAACTCATTGTCTCTCTGAATAGTAACTCATTGTGTCTCTGAGTAGTAACTCATTGTCTCTCTGAGTAGCAACTCATTGTCTCTCTAAGTAGTAACTCATTGTCTCTCTGAGTAGTAACTCATTGTCTCTCTGAGTAGTAACTCATTGTCTCTCTGAGTAGTAACTCATTGTCTCTCTGAGTAGTAACTCATTGTCTCTCTGAGTAGTAACTCATTGTCTCTCTGAGTAGTAACTCATTGTCTCTCTGAGTAGTAACTCATTGTCTCTCTGAGTAGTAACTCATTGTGTCTCTGGTAGTAACTCATTGTCTCTCTGAGTAGTAACTCATTGTCTCTCTGAGTAGTAACTCATTGTGTCTCTGAGTAGTAACTCATTGTATCTCTGAGTAGTAACTCATTGTATCTCTGAGTAGTAACTCATTGTCTCTCTGAGTAGTAACTCATCGTGTCTCTGGGTAGTAACTCATTTTCTCTCTGAGTAGTAACTCATTGTCTCTCTGAGTAGTAACTCATTGTGTCTCTGAGTAGTAACTCATTGTCTCTCTGAGTAGTAACTCATTGTCTCTCTGAGTAGTAACTCATTGTCTCTCTGAGTAGTAACTCATTGTGTCTCTGAGTAGTAACTCATTGTCTCTCTGAGTAGTAACTCATTGTCTCTCTGAGTAGTAACTCATTGTCTCTCTGAGTAGTAACTCATTGTCTCTCTGAGTAGTAACTCATTGTCTCTCTGAGTAGTAACTCATTGTCTCTCTGAGTAGTAACTCATTGTCTCTCTGAGTAGTAACTCATTGTGTCTCTGAGTAGTAACTCATTGTCTCTCTGAGTAGTAACTCATTGTCTCTCTGAGTAGTAACTCATTGTCTCTCTGAGTTAGTAACTCATTGTCTCTCTGAGTAGTAACTCATTGTCTCTCTGAGTAGTAACTCATTGTCTCTCTGAGTAGTAACTCATTGTCTCTCTGAGTAGTAACTCATTGTCTCTCTGAGTAGTAACTCATTGTCTCTCTGAGTAGTAACTCATTGTCTCTCTGAGTAGTAACTCATTGTCTCTCTGAGTAGTAACTCATTGTCTCTCTGAGTAGTAACTCATTGTCTCTCTGAGTAGTAACTCATTGTCTCTCTGAGTAGTAACTCATTGTCTCTCTGAGTAGTAACTCATTGTCTCTCTGAGTAGTAACTCATTGTCTCTCTGAGTAGTAACTCATTGTCTCTCTGAGTAGTAACTCATTGTCTCTCTGAGTAGTAACTCATTGTCTCTCTGAGTAGTAACTCATTGTCTCTCTGAGTAGTAACTCATTGTCTCTCTGAGTAGTAACTCATTGTCTCTCTGAGTAGTAACTCATTGTCTCTCTGAGTAGTAACTCATTGTCTCTCTGAGTAGTAACTCATTGTCTCTCTGAGTAGTAACTCATTGTCTCTCTGAGTAGTAACTCATTGTCTCTCTGAGTAGTAACTCATTGTCTCTCTGAGTAGTAACTCATTGTCTCTCTGAGTAGTAACTCATTGTCTCTCTGAGTAGTAACTCATTGTCTCTCTGAGTAGTAACTCATTGTCTCTCTGAGTAGTAACTCATTGTCTCTCTGAGTAGTAACTCATTGTCTCTCTGAGTAGTAACTCATTGTCTCTCTGAGTAGTAACTCATTGTCTCTCTGAGTAGTAACTCATTGTCTCTCTGAGTAGTAACTCATTGTCTCTCTGAGTAGTAACTCATTGTCTCTCTGAGTAGTAACTCATTGTCTCTCTGAGTAGTAACTCATTGTCTCTCTGAGTAGTAACTCATTGTCTCTCTGAGTAGTAACTCATTGTCTCTCTGAGTAGTAACTCATTGTCTCTCTGAGTAGTAACTCATTGTCTCTCTGAGTAGTAACTCATTGTCTCTCTGAGTAGTAACTCATTGTCTCTCTGAGTAGTAACTCATTGTCTCTCTGAGTAGTAACTCATTGTCTCTCTGAGTAGTAACTCATTGTCTCTCTGAGTAGTAACTCATTGTCTCTCTGAGTAGTAACTCATCGTGTCTCTGGGTGTGTGTTTCAATTACTCTCCTTGCATCGCCATTACAGACACGACGCAGCTTTTCAAACCTCGCGCCGCTGCGTGCTCGCTGTAGCATCCGATTGTTATTGCGCAACTGCCCCCCGCACACCAGCCCCCCCCCCAGCCCCCACCCCCCCGCCCCGTGTGCTGTCTCGGGCACCACACGGGGACGCGGCGAGTCCCGGCGAGGCGAGCAGTGGGGGGGGGGGGGGGGGGAGACGCGGCTCTGCGGGGGGAGCCGTGCCGCGTACGATCTGCGTACAGCGCTCAGATTTGTCGTCGGATGTTTCTGTCATCATCGTCGTCGTCGTTGTTGTTGTTGTCATTGTTTACGCACCCTCTCTCCGAAGGGTGCTGCCAAGTCTTCACAGTCGGGGTGGGGGGGGGATGGTGATGGATGCGATGCCAGTCGAGTGATTTGTCGTGGAGTTTCGTTTTACCATTGGAACCGTGACGTCGGCACACACGATGGCCCACTCTTGCGAGCGACGTCACGGGATCTATAAGCGGCCACTGCGAGCGAAGCAGACGACGCGTGGTAGTATCTTTGCGGTAATTACTCCACCAACGCGGTGCTAACCGGGGCTGCCGCTGGAGCCGAACCGGGAATCCGCTGCCGCGAGGCCGCAACGCAGCCCGAGACGCGGGTCGGCAACCCGCGGCTCTCCGAGGACCGCTTCGTGACGCGTTGTTCGTGGAGGACCACCGTCTCGCGTGCACCACGCGGCGCATTGCGGCTCGTGAAATATCGAGAGTTTTTATTACCGAATACGACAAAAAATGTCTCTTCTTGTGGTTTGGGTTGGCGACTCCTGCCCCGACTAGGCGTGAACCCACGTGGTGATTTTGCTTCAGTCTGAGAGCTGTCAGTCGTATGCGCCACCCACACCATGCACACGGAATCTGAATATGTAGTTATACTGTAGGAATCCGATGAGGTATGAAGCTCTATTTTACAGGCGTCCAGAGCACACACTCTCAACACACAGTGCACGCACATACACTCAGTGTACTCATACACACACGGCACGTACAGAGTATACACTCTCAACACACAGTGCACGCACACACACTCAGTGTACACGGTCACACACGGCACGTACAGAGTACACACAGTATACTCACACACACAGCACGTACAGAGTACAGACTCTCAACACAGTGCACGCACACACACTAAGTGTACACGGCACACACTGACACGGTCACACACAGCACGTACAAAGTACACACTCTCAACACACAGTGCACGCACACACACTAAGTGTATACGGTCACACACGGCACGCTCGCAGGCTGAGAGTGGAATTCTCGCGTCCCTAAACAGACAGAGGTGGTGTTGCATCTCGGCCTCCAACTGCAGTGGACAGCGAAGCGATACAACGAAACCACCCCCCCTCACCCCGTGCCCCCCCTCACCCCGTGCTCCCCCCTCCCCCCGTGCCCCCCCCCTCACCCCGTGCTCCCCCCTCCCCCCGTGCCCGCCAGGTTGCTGAGCGCTGTGGCGAGCACGCTGCCGAGCGTGCCGGCCTCCCTGCCCCTCGACGTCATCACGCAGCTCGGCACGCACCCACGGTAACGCACCCACGGTAACGCACCCATAGTAACGCACCGACGGTAAGGCACCCATGGTAACGCACCCAAGGTAACGCACGCACGGTAACGCATCCATAGTAACGCACCGACGGTAAGGCACCCATGGTAACGCACCCAAGGTAACGCACGCACGGTAATGCACCCATGGTAACGCACGCACGGTAACGCATCCATGGTAACGCACACGGTAACGCACGCCGGGACACTCACCGTCGTCATCATCAGCAGCCGTGATCGATCCACTGCTGGATGACGACCTCTCCAAGCCGTTGCTATATGTTCACGATGTCCCGCGAAGCACCAATCCAGTCAGTGGCACGGGGTGGCCGGGTGTCAGAAGAAAGTCTGTCTCTATAACCCCCACAACCCGCTTCACCACAATCGATTGCGAAAATTGGGATTTTGACCCCGGTCAAAAATATATTACCCGAGTTGAGCGGTGGAACAGCGATTAGCGCGCTGCGCTATTCACTCCAACCACCCACTTCTGTCGAAGCCCCTCGGTCAATGTTCACTGACTGGCAGCTCGCGCCGTCTCTGCTGCGATAATTTGAGGTGCGCTGCTTAAAGCAGGGGTGGAGGACCGTTTATCTACTCACAGTGAAATAAGACTTTCAAGTAGCACGAGGGGTCAGCTACACACTCCGTAGAGATTCTCGCGCTAAAATTAGAAACGGCGTTTTTGCCAGGTCGAATTTGTGTTGCCCTCTTGGTACCCGAAGAGTGCGGCAGAGATGCTCGCAGTGATGAAGGAACATCGTGAGGGCCCTTTATTAAAAGGGCCGCACGCGAATTCAGGGCCCGTGTCCGGCCCACGGGCCATGCGCCCCCCCCCCCCTGATGCAGAGCGATGGGCCGGCCTCGCGCCACCGCCTGCGTAGACCAAACCCAGACAACTCAAGACAACCCTCTCGGTCTGTTATCAAAGCCGTGCGGCTTGCTGCGATCAAGTTCAACTCAACACCGGCGGTGCCAGATCTCGGCGCAGATCAACGCCTGCTGCCACCCGAACAAAAATGCCGCGGGTGCCGATCCCTGACCTGGCCCGGTCCACACCCGATAGATATCGAGCTCACTTCTGGAAGAGGTGTCAGGGCTGGCTGTTGGTCGAGGAGATGAAGTGGCCCGGCACAGGCTGCTGGCTACGGTAAGGGTGGCAGCTGTCGTGGACATACGATCTTCATGCTGGTTGTGGCAGGGGGAGGGGGGTAGTGGCTAGTCCCTGGGGTGGGGTGGCCTCCTGCGCCAGGCTATGCCAACGATGACAGCTGCGATAGAGCGGCGCGCCGGCCCGGTGCAGGATGTGGCTGCGACGGTGGCCAGCGACGAGCGGAGTGAGTGCAGCGGGTGGCGGTGAGGGGCACGCGGGGCCGCCGTCGCCTCTCGGGGCCGACAATTTGAAACGAGGCCACGGGGATCATTACGGCGGTGACCCTCGGGCTGCTGAACCGCGACCTCGTCCAGCGCCCTCCGCACGGCGGGGCGCAGGTAATGAACGGCTCTCCCCGGCTCCCCCCGGCTCCCCTCGGCTCTCCTCGGCTCGTCTCGGCTCCCCCCGGCTCTCCTCGGCTCCCCTCGGCTCTCCTCGGCTCCCCCCGGCTCCCCCCGGCTCGTCTCGGCGCGACCGCATCGGCCAGCGAGCATGGGGAGAGAAGAGGAAAACACCCCAAACCAAACACGTGTGCCCGGATTGTAGTAATACAAAATAAAACTTCCGCGATGCTCAATATGTATTATTTAAGTGCATTAAATCTGAACACAAATGCAATTGTAAGCGCAGATGTGTTTTTCAAGAGCTCGTGTTATGCAAAAGAGGTGGCGGGGGTGGGGGCTAATGGTTCTTCGGTGGCCAATCTGTGGAATGTTAATTTTAAAATCCCCGTGGCACGGGTCCCCGCAAGAGGCCGAGCCAGGAGAACAGACGGCATTAGAGCCCCGCGGATTCCTGCTGCTGAATAAAACACGCGCTGTTCAAAGCGACCCGCGCAACGCACGCAAACTCATACATTTTTCACTGCATTTTAAATGTGAGCCCTCCACTTTATTATAAACGCCGCGAATCGTCAACTTCAATTTAGCCGGGTTCAGGCGCAGCAGCAGCAGTAGTAGCAGCAGCTGTAGCAGCAGCAGCAGCAGTAGTAGCAGCAGCTGTAGCAGCCGAGGCTTGCGCTGACTTTAGCGAGAAGCCCGGGGTGAGGGAAGTGTGGGGGGGGGGGGTTCAGTAGCGCAGCCCCCCCCCCCACCACCCCCCCCGCCGCCCCCCCGCCGACCCCCACAGCTTCGACGTAAATCCAAAGTGAATTCACACTGTGTCTGCGAGGGCAGCCGCTGCTGCTGCTGTTGTTGTTGTTTTGTTGTTTATGTACTCGCCGTACCGAGTCGGCGTTGCGCACAGAGAAGGGACCGGCGGGGCGTGGCGGGGCAGTTAGAGACAAAGTAACCAGACAGGGGAAGACAACAACAACATATGCAAGAACGTTGTTGTTGCTACGCTTGCTTTGCCCAGGGAAGCCTCACCGAGTTTCAAGGGCCCTGTTCAAGGAGGGTCCTGCCACGCGTGGTTACCCGCTGGGGGTATTTGCGGTGCTAGTTTTTGTTTTTTCCATCTCCAAGCGTGGACCGCGACGCCGGCTCGCAATGGCCTCTACGCCGCTCCAATCCCGTCGTTAACATCACCTGCACAACGGATGGCGCCTAGTATTGTATGGCCACTACCACGGTGTTGATACCACAGTGTTCACCAGCGCGGCCTTCTGGATTCGAACTGCGGACTTCTGCCACAAGCTACCGCTATGCCACATTGCTCCATGTAGACTGCAGCCACGCGACGTTATGCCGCGTCCTCATTCTGCGTCGTTACTCTACGGGCGCCGATCGAGCTGCTTCACGAACGCCCCCTGGGCTCGGCCACGACTCTCCACACAGCGCGCCCCTCTCCTCCCCGGGTCCCTTCCCTCCGCTCGGCGTCCGTCGACGAGGCGCGCGCGGTGGCGGCGCAGACGACGGCCTGGGAGCGTGGCGGCCTCGAGGAAACTTCGCGCAAGGCCCCGCGCAATAGACAATGGCCACGCGGGCGTTCGTGCGTAATATATAACACTGGTCAACACACTTTTTCTGGCATAAGGTATTCCAAATGGTTTTAAGGTAATTTCGGATTCCAAATCTGGCATAAGTTTTTGTCTATCACATCAGGTTTTTGAGATATCAAATATTGCATTTTCAATAAAAACTGCAGAAGAAAAATATTAAATAAATGTGGATATCTACATAAAATTATATTATAAACACACTAACATAAAAATACAGCACCATATTTTAACACTAAACCAGTCACTGACTCGCAACAACTTGCAATCATAAGTGACAGAGTTAATTTCGGGTAAAATCAATGAAAATGGGGTATGCCGATAGCATAAAAATGATGTGATAGAGCAAATCTGAGATCAGATTTGGAATTAGCACCCTGAAATTAGTCTAAAACAGCTGCAAAAGTCCAAGCCAGAATTTTTTTTGACCAGTGTATAATCAGCGTGTGTGTGTGTCAGTGTATAGCAGGGAGCGGTAGTGTAGCGGTTAAGCGTGCTCAGCTACGAACCCGGCCACCCGCGTTCGTTTCCCGCTCACGGCCACCAACGCCAGTGACGGTTATCTGAATCGGTCCTGGCCCCCCCCCCTAGGTCAACTCAGCCTCAAATTAATAACTGGTGAGGTGTGTGAACGTCGCCACTGGGAAGACAAAGGCGGTCGAGCGTGGTGCTGGCAACCCGCCCCTCGTGTGCCGTGCCGCCTTTTGTAGGTTCTCGATAACAGCACTTGTCCCGACAGCCTGTTAAGGCTATACGGGGGATCTTTGTGTACTGTATGTAAATCTATGAGCGTGTCGGGTGAGGACCCCGGTGGGATTTTGTAAACAATTAGGAAGCGTTCGTCCGTTCGTTCCCCGTCGTCACGGCAGCGCGACTTTGACGTCTCCGCTTAGAAACGTGAAGAGCACCAACGCGGGCCGCGGTGCTCCAGACGTTGTATCTTCGCTAAATAACAACAAACGCCAAATAAAAGCACGCGCCGCGGTGTTCCCGAGGGGAGGGGAGGGGTGGTGGGCAGGGGAGGGGAGGGGTGGTGGGCAGGGGAGGCGCGCTGATTTTTGGCACCCGCGGAGCGGCTCCGCTAACGCCGCTCGCTACCCCGCCGCGCGCCCGAGGCCACGTGGACGGCTTTCGTGCCGCGCTCCTCGGCCCTACAAGGCGGCCGTGTCATCGGTGCTGGGCGTCCTGGGAGCGGCGGGGGTTAACGGGGGGGGGGGGCGGTAAGGGTGAGGGCGGCTCCTGTGAACCGTGCGGTCATCGCTCACTCTCCTCGCTCACTCTCCTCGCTCGCTCACCGAATTGTTCATTCAGAAACGCTGCTGCTCGCTCAACCATTGAGTCAACCACCCACCAACCTACCCGATCTGTCACCCACTCGCCCATAAACTCACTCATTGTGTTATTCGCTCAGTAACTCAATTGCTCACTCACGCATACGTATTCACTCACCCACCCGCTCGCCCAATAACTCACTCACTTGCTTACTCAGTCACAATTTCACTCTCTTATTCAATTACTCAGAATCTCCCTCACTCACCCGCCCACTCACCCATCGAATTTTCTCTCTTGCTCGCTTACTCATTCAATCAGCAGCTCATTCAATCGCCCTCTAACTCACCCACAAACTCCCCCACACCGACTCGCTTAGCCACTCACCCACCCGCAAATTTACTCACCTATACTCACTCACCCAGTCACTCATTCACTCACTCGCAAACGCACCGACTCACCCACCCACCTATTTAACCAGCTGCTCACTCGCTCGCTCACCCAGTCACTGCCGAGCTCGCTCACCCAGTCACTGCAGAGCTCGCTCACCCAGTCACTGCTCACTCGCTAACTCACCCAGTCACTGCTCACTCGCTAACTCACCCAGTCACTGCCGAGCTCGCTCACCCAGTCACTGCCGAGCTCGCTCACCCAGTCACTGCTCACTCGCTAACTCACCCAGTCACTGCTCACTCGCTCGCTCACCCAGTCACTGCCGAGCTCGCTCACTCGCTGCCTGTCGCCCCGCAGATTCAGGCGCTGGCTGCGGGAGGACGAGGCCCGGGCCGCGCTGCTCGCTCCGCTGGAGCGCTGCCTGGTGAGGTCCAATTCTTGTTCCCTGAACCTCACAATCGTGCTGAACATCGTCATCGTCACCATCATCATCTGTTGCTTGCATTTACTTGGCACTATGGGTAGAGGCCTAAGCAACTCTCAAGGCACCTTTAATCTCCATTTCATCTCAAACATCCAAGGGGCACCCCCGGTTGCAGCTGTCCCTGTGCGGCAAAAGTGACTCGGCGCCTGGGGAGCATCTGCCAGTCGGTGGCGATGCTCGCCGCTGTGTGTGTGTGTGCGATTCCAAGGTAGCAAATTTGCACCGCGACGTGGACACGCGATGATGACCTCCTGCTCCTCGTGTCGACGTCGCGGGGATCTTTAACGTCCGCCGTGATCGTGCACGGTCCATACCGCACACGCCGCAGTGGTAACCAGAGCGGCCTGCCTGATTCAAATCACGCGAACCTCCGCACCGTGCGGCGACCGCGCTGCGGCCGGCGTTTCGCACTGCGTAGTGGGGACGACGTCTCGCAGTGCCACTGTCATCGCGTTTTCTCCGCCGCGTCTTCACGTGCTTTCTCGTAGCGCCGCATCGTCGCGACCCCAGCGAGACGGCGCAGGGACGCGGCAAGTTGGGCACACCAGCGAGCGAGCCTCCTCCCTCCGCCGGGCGCCAGACAATCCCTCCCCTCTCTTCTCCTCCCCCTTCGCCGCCGGCCGCGGATTCGCGCGATACGGGCCGCGGAGCGAGTAAAGTGGGCCCTCCTCGTGATCATAGAGGCCACCCGGAATTGTCGCGGTAAATACTTAATCACACGTTCTCCACGGGCGAAATGAATGCATTCACATTCACCCTCGTGAGCTGCAGTGCCTTCTAACTCACCATTTCCTGCCACTCCTCCTGCTGCTGCTGCTGCCGCTCTCCAGTGATTGCACCCCGCCACGCTCATGGGTTCTACCGGAGCGCCAGCCCCGCACGCGCGCGGCCTGCGGCCGCTACGGCGGGGACCGCGCTGCTCGCCTCGCTCCCACGCGGTTTGGGGCGGTTGCTGCTCGTGCCACCGGAGAAGTGAAACAAACATTTAGCGCCGGGCTGTTATCCCGATCACTTAAGCAATCGTCGACCCGACAGGCTGTCAGTCAGATTCCTCCCGTAGTCGGATACATGCGTGTAAGCAGTTGGGAGAGGGGGGGGGGATGTCTCGCCTCTGTGTTTCACCAAGTGTGCCGCTGGACTGGAGGTGTTGGGCGGTGCTCAGTGATGCCATCGGCATCGTAAGCCATGTCACGATGGGCGTGGGCTGTAGGGGGTTTCCCGCCTTCATGAGTTCGTAGGATGTGGGGCGGCCGCCGTTTTTTAAAGGGGCCTTGAGTAATGGAGCACACGGCAAGGAATGGATCACGATTTTAAATTGATTAGACGCCCTAATGAACGAATTGACCGAGCTACAAAACAACTCGTGACACGGCTAAGGGTGAGGCTGGACCTAGGTCACGGCTGGGTCGTTGGTCATAGGTTCAGGTTTTTATCCCAATTATATGCTGGTTGTGCAATAGGCACGATGTCGCGAGGAGAGGAGATTTCTCATTGGGAACTCTCGAAGCGAGCAGCGCACCACCTTGCCGTTGGAGAATGTTCCTGAATGGAGTCCTCACAGATGACGTCATGCCATGGCAACGAGTTTTTGTCCCATGGGAATGAAATTCACATAATTGAATGATAAGAAGTGAAACATGCCGACATAATTGTGAGCAGAGTTGAGTCCCATCAGCTGACTACGCCTGAGAGCTCGGCATCATCACAGGCCACTGGGACCTTGATTCAAACCCAGGTCACAGCCGCTGGTGGCCGAGCGCTCCGACACGGCGTTAGCCCCCCGGACAAAGCGATGCCAGCCAGGCCCGGGGCAGTCTCAGTGGTGGTGCTCTGAAGTGGGTCCCACTGCTTACCAGCACTCGCAAGGAAACAGTTTTGTCTCTACTGGCAAACATGGTTAGGATTGGTTATGGTTAGTTAGGATTAGTTTGGGTCGGTTCGGGCTCGTTATGTTAGGGTTAGATAAGGTAATTTAGGGTAAACTATGGTTAGTTCTGGCGAAGAAGGGTTATTTATGGTTAGTTACTGCTCCAGAAAGGTAAGAGAAAACCCTATTGGTTTTCACAAAGTTAGGACAGAGAAACGCTATGAAAAGTCAAACTCTGCTGAAATGAAACAGACCGCTTCTCAAACACATTTGAAAAGCGGTCTCAGAGCCAGGATTGTATTTTAAAATGCACGGATATTAAACTTATATCCAGAGCAAGATTGCTTTGGGAGAATACAAATACCGGGGTGTGAATATTCGGGATGGGGAGTCACGTGTCCCCCGTCGGCTGCTGGTATGAATACAAATTCTGGGGGAAGATAAAGCTTCTGACACCGGCTGAGTGTCGTCGTGCCCCCACACGGAACCACCACCCCGCAACACCCGCAAGTTACCTCGGGGTCAGGTCATGTCGGTCGCAGAGGTCAAGTCATTGGGTCGTGGGTCACCGGGCCGATTCATTCCGCCCGAACATCACGTGACACGTGCCGGTGTGCGCGGCCACGTGGCGTTACCGCGTCTCCACGACCAGTCACGCGGTGCGATGGAGCAGATGACACGAGGTCATCGTTTCGATAGCGATACAAGCACCAAATTGGGGACGGGCCATCTTACGAGTGTCACTAAACAAGAAACAAAAAACGTTCGTCACCTACAAAACAAAGATGGTCACCAACAACAATGGCGGCGATCTTTTATGTGTAGGTGGGTAACATTTTTGTTCCGTGATGCTGCACCGTTGTGAACATCTCTGGAAGGTCCCATGCTCGTAACACAATTTCAACGATTCGTGTGAGTGCGAGAGAGAGAGAGAGAAAAGGCACGAATCAGTTCGGCTATGAACCGCGCTGATGACCGCCGCTGGCTGACACACTTCACTAGCAGCAGCAGAATCGCGGCGCTCCGAGTTGATTTGCGGGCTGATTGCAATCATCGGGCAGTGCCTCCGCAGAGGGACGAGGCTCTTGTCGGGGCCGAAGTCTTGCTGGTGTTGCTATCCCGCGAGTGCCTCGGTTCCGATCGAAGTCTCGTTATCGTCGCCAACGGCGCTCGCCCGCTCCTGAGTGATGGGCGTGCGTTAGAGGTTGACACCTGTGCCGGGTCTGACCCCGGTACGGCCCGTGACCTTGGCGTCTGTGTTCGGGGCGCCGGCAGCAGCAGAAATGCATTCGTACCGAGATCCAGTAGTGCTACTGCTGTGTTGAACTCTGTTACTGGACACTGCGCCGCTTTGAAGGCGCTAGCCCTGGCTGCGGGCAAGGCGGCAGTCCTATGGGGACGTCTCCTCCTCGCTGGGCGCTGCATCGCCATCGCACGCTGCGCCTTCCTCGTGCCTACGCGCGTGCGAGATGTCTGTGGGATTTAAAGGGGCAAGCCGGTTTATCGGATCATATGGACATACACCCGAGATGATGACTACTCAAACAACGGAGTGATGTATTCGTAGAACAGCGGCATTTAATAACGGGATAATTCACGAAGGGAGGGCTCTCCGACAATGTACGGTGGCTGGGCCAGAGAGCTGGGAGCTCGAGGGGGATTGGCTGAGCCTGCCGCCTTGCGCGCAGCGGGTGGCTCATTGATATATTTTAAACTGCTTTTAGAATAACGTTGAGATTATTTTAATTAAAAAAAGTTCACGATGGGTACTGAACCCGCTGTGGCCGCTATTAGCGAGCATTGCTCAAGCGGGAGTGGGTGGTCAACACCACGCCGGGCCGCCTTTGTCTGCTTCGTGACGACGTTTACGCACCGCACCAGGTGCTCATTTGAGGCCGAGTCGACATAAGGGAGGCCCAGGACCAATGCAAATAATCGTTACCTGTGTTTGTCGTGAGCGGGAATCGTAGTGCCGTGCGCTAACCGCTGCGCCACCGCCCCCCAAACACAGGCCGCCCCATCGTGATGGCCAAGCATACCCATCCACCGCACACACGTGCATAACCACCACCACCGTCATCATCCGCAGAGTACACTGCGATTCTAATCACTGTACCGACCTTTTGTCTGGTAGTGTGGTTTTCATCCGCGGTGGTGGCGTGTTCCTGCAGGGATCCCAGTGAGTGGGAGTGCGGTTGTTGTGTTATTGGTGATGGTAGTGAGTGGTGGTGGTAGTGCGGGTGTTGTGTTGTTGACGGTGGTTGTGAGTAGTGGTAGTGTGGTGGTCTTGCGGCTGCTGCATTGCCGAGGCCGGTAGTGCGCACCTTGGCACGGAGTGACCCAACATCCACACACCCCCACGCTCTGCTCCCTGCAGTTAATAACCGGTTTGGCACGGCTCCCTTCATGGAACATCCATCACGGGAGGGCGTGTGTGCATGTATGTGTGCGAGATGCTCGCTGACAGCACTTGCCCCAACAATTTGTTTCAGGCTACACGGGGGATCTGTATTTGGGAGGGGGGGGGGCGGTAGCGTAGTGGTGGGCGCTATGAACCTCGCGTGGTGTTGGCCACCCACCCCATCGTGTGCCCGTTCGGGGCCTTCATTGGTGCAACTGGCGAACGGCACTTACCCCAACCGTGCTTAAGGCTATTCGGGGTATCTTTGTCTTTGTGCGGTTGTGTTATTGCGTGGGCGTCGGATAGGCAAACGAATGCCTTCGCTGTTCCCGCTTTGTGCTTTCTCAAAATTGCAGCTCTCGTGTTTCCCGCTGTCAATCGCCCGCGTGCGTTTACGTGCGTGTCCGTGTGTCTGTGTATCTGGCTCCTTGTCCGCGTGTCTGGCCGCGTGTCCGCGTGCTGTGGCGTGACTAGCTGCGTCTCATTAGCCGCCGCCACGCGGACTTGTGGGAATGGACGGCCCGTCTCAGTACACTTAGACTCGCGCATCATTAGCGTGTTTAATTAGACTCCACTTATGATTAATACGCTTGTAACAAGTTTTATGATGACCCTGACAGAATTCCTTACCCTCTGTGCCTGTCACGTGTAGCCGCCTCCTCCTCCCATGCTCCGCGGCGTCTTCCTCCTGCCCCCCCTCTCCCCGTGATGAAATTTACATATCTCTCCACTTCCCCCTTTTCGCCTCCTCCGCCCTGCCTATTTCCCCTCTCTCGTCATCCTCGTATTCTTGTCCACCTCCCCCCCACATTCATTGCGTCACCCTCCCTCCCCCTCCTCGGCCGTGCGTAATTGCCTGCCCAGTGACCCCGCGGTTCCGTCTGCTCCACGTGCGTGAGTCTCTGCCCCTGGGCCCCCGTGTCGCTACAGGTTTTATTGGAAGCGCCGCCCGCTCCCTCGCCGTTCAATCGAACACGGCGCGGCGCGTCACTGCCCCTTTAATTGTAATACAGGGGGGTGCTTAAAATAAATGTTCACACTTCCGTGAATTTGCAACAATACCACGAGAAGTGCTGCCTCCGGGCTCTGGAGACCACCTGGAGAAGACTCCAGGCCACGTGTCGACAATGATGGCGAACAAGTAGAGACTTTTTGATTTTTCTGAAGCTATTAACATACATTTGTGATCATGTTACAGTGCATTATTCGTTATTTTCCCATTAAAAACGAGAGTCCCATGTAAGTGTTCACATTGTTTTGAAGCGCCCTATACATACGACTGCTCGAAATGATGTTGACGATCGTAATCGCAACCACGAGTTGGCGGCCCTCGCGGCTCTCTGCGCCGCAGCTGAGGGCGGTGTTTTGCCATCTCGGCGTGAGCTGCCCTGGTTCGAAGCGTGGCTTTCCTGTGTTTAAAGTCAATTGCAGCGTGGGTGGCTGAGTTTCTGGTGGCGGCGGTGGAGTGGTGGGGGTGGAGGTTGGGGGGGGGGGGGTGACGAGTTGCCGATCGAGGTGGCGACGCCGCCGGCTCGTGTGTGACGCTGCGCGAGCGCGCGCGGAGGACGGCGGCGGCAGCCGAAGCGCCTCTCCCACTCGCCCCCGAGTCGAGCCGCGCCTCGTTCGGAACGATGACCGGCGGTCGAGACGAACGACGGAGCGGCAGCCCAAAGGAGGGAGCGATGGAATCGGGCTGCTACGCAGGAGCGAGAGACGACATCGTTGGTGTAGCACGTTCAACCCAACAACCTTTATTATGAATGAAATCGTTGCTTCGCGAGACCGTGCGATAGATGGCGACGTCTTGGGGGGGGGGAGGCTTTTACCCTGTCCCGTGGAGGACTGGCTGTCACATGCCGACAATGTCGAGCGACCCACACGGTAACGGGGGGGGGGGCTTGCGCTTTTTGCGGAGGTGGCGTGATTTGGATTTGTCGTGATGGGCCCCGCATCAGGGGGGGGGGGGGGTGTTGGCCATGTCCATTCACGAGTTGTTGTGTCCGTGGGAGGAAGCCAGAGAGTGCCTGCATGAAGTCCACGCGTGCGACGGCACGGCACTCAAAAGGCCGCGCGAAATTGATATATTATTGTTCGTCCGTCCAAGGGTACTTAAGGAAGACCACAACACCCCGGAACCAATCGCGAGCAAGCACGCGGCGCTGTTCGCACGGCAGCACAAATTCCCAGTCGCCTACATCTCGAGCGAGATTGGAAATATTTCCAAAGAAAATGAAAATGGTTTATTACCAAGGACTCTCTTGTAATGGCGCGAATCAACACGATTAGCACGCGCGCATTGTAACGTGCGCGCGTTGTGACGTGCGCGCGTGCCCTTGTAGAAGCGAGTCGTGGAGCGGTTAACGCGCCGCGCTACGAACCCGGCGACCCGAATTTGATTCCTGCTCACGGTCACCAACACCAGTGACAAATATTTGAACCGGTACTGGACATTTTTTGTCAAATGACTACCTGGTGCGCTGTGTGAATATCACCACGAGAGAGACAAAGGCACGTGGTGCTGGCCCACCCACCCCATCGTGTGCCGTCCGGGCCTCCATAGGTGCTCGCTAACAGCACTTGTCCTCACGGTATGTTGAAGCTACACGCGAGGGTGGGGGTCTCTGTCTTTGTGGGAAGCGAGTTCGCGCGTCTTGCGGGAACGGAGGCTCCCTTCAATGGGGCCGGCGTCGCCAGCTTGTCTACCACTCGCCGGATCGCTTCTGCTCCAGCGGCGTGCGCGTGTCTCCCCGCAGGCCCGCGGCGAGCCCACGTGCCCCGACGCGGAGCGCCTCGCCTCGTGCGTCGCGGCGCTCGCCACCCTGGCGGGCTACGGAGGAGCGGTGCGGGCGGCCCTGGCGACTCGCCGCGAGCTCTGGGACGCGTGCCTGGACCTTGCGGTGAGGGGGGGGGGAGCTGGCTAGCTCACTCAGCGCGGTCGTTTCCTTTCGGAAATCAGCGGAGGAAATGTTCGAGTGCTAGGGGCTGTTGGGGTGGGCACGGCCCCACTAAATGTCCCTCCAGCCCACCCAAGGTAATTCTGACGAGCTGTAGCCGACCAGACTACAGGAAGTGACACCACGAGACTCACTGACTCTGACGCGGCTACAACTGAGACTGCGATGCATAACGTTGTTGTTTGACGAATGTAGTTTTAGTTGATCGATTTGTTTCTGTTCACCGAGGGCTAGGACACAATCCCCGTTAGGGGTGGGGGTTGAGGGACTAAAGGCGGATACGGAAAGACAAGAACACGGACATCCGAGATAGTAACAGCTAAGCAATGTGAGCGGGGAAGTCCACCACACAGCATCGGTAGAAAGCCATTGAGACAGCGCTGGGGAGTGCCTCTAGCACGGACGGCACAGCAGTCGGCTCGCCCCAACAGCCTGTTGATGGCTAAACAGGGTGGGGGGAATCGGTCTGTGTTGTGAGTGCGGCCTGTGCGTGTGTGCGTACGTGCCAAGAGCTCAAAGGTAACAACACAGGAATAGACGCAGGGAGGGTCGCTGAGAAGCGTCTCGAACCCCACGCCGCTGCCCGAGTAGATCCGCGTCACGAGGTTGAGTTTAACCCTCGGCTGCACGGACCTTAGCCGATGTCCTTCGAGGGGGGGTGGGGGGGGAGGCAGCCGTGGAATAATCAAAACTCGGGGGGAGGCACCACGAGAGCGGGGTCGACCCTGCTGCGAGCTGCCCGCCTGCGACATGGGGGGGGGGGCTGCTCGCCTCTCTAGCGGAGGAGGAGGCGGAGGCAGGCAGATTCCGCAGGGTTCATTCGAGAGAGGCCGCTTGTGACAAACCCGTTATTTGTTACCTAAATTACACACGGCGCGCAACACCACGTGCGTTTAATTCTGTTAGGCGCTTTCCTTGCTGCTGCTGCCGCTGAGGGTAAGAGAAGCAACGAGCAGGGAATTAATTAGCGTGAGTAACGTGCAGCGGAGATCAATGGGCACATCACCATCGCCGTCCCCCCTTTTGCATACCTGCCAGGAGAGAGGCGCGCGGGGCCGCTGCGACCCCGCGCGCCTCCCCACTCTCCCTCTTCCTCCTCCCGAGTAACGCGATTTGACGGCCACGGAGTCGTGTCCGGACCCACGCGGCGTCGCGATAAATAACAAAACAAAGCCAACACAAATTTGAATTGGAGCGGGACGTCGCGGTGCGTGACCGGCCGCCAGCCTCGCCGTGGTGCGGCCGTCGCGTGAACTCGGCGGTGCCCCGCGTCGCCCTCGCTCACGTCGGTAGCGCTGCCACGTGCCTGCCGCGTCCGCAGTGAGTTTGATGGGCGTCTCGGGCTGATGTATTTGTTGTTTCGGGGGGGGGGGTGGGGGTGGCGCCCCCCGCCCTCTCTGTAGAGTCAAAACCTTTATTCCCACCTGATGAGGGACGCTTGTGTTGCGCCCGAAACGTCGTGAAATATTTTTTTTTTATACCTACGTGACTTTACCGAAAGAACCAACGAGTATAACACCTTTATTGTTTAACCACCGCTCGTGCCCATGGCATGAAACGCGGCGCTCGCTCTAACGCCTCCGTCCATGGGAGCGACTCCACGTCGCGACGTCTCTTCTTCTGCACCGTCCCCAGCGCCCTCGTGCCGTCATCGTCGGCGCGATCTGTTCACTGCTAGCCGGTTGTCTCCCCAGGGCCGTCACCAGGTGTCCCTGCGATGCCAGAGTGGTGTACGTATCCAGTATATATCTCTCAACGTACCACGGTATACACACGCACATGTTTCTCATGTTGATGTTGATCTAGGCAGGGCCGTCCGTAGGGGGGTGCGGGGCCCGGGGCGAATCACCGCGTGTGGGCCGCCCGGCGCCTTCAACTAAAGCGGAAGTTTTGCATCTGACAACGCGATGTCGAAGCGCAGCCATGTGCGGGGCCCGGGACGGTCGCCGTGTACCCTAGGGACGGCTCTGGGCAGACGAGAAGAAGAGAAAGGTCCCGACTTGAACTTTGACCTGAACAGAGGCAGGAAGCTGACAGCCACGGATGGCGCCGCGCTTCTCTTTGTGCCGCGGTGGCGTCATCCTGGCGTCGCCATGGCAACGCCGTCAAGGTGTCGCCGTCAGGCGGCGGCCGTTGTCGAGCGAGTGCCCAGCCTCGTGCTCCGCTCTCGGGCTGGCGGGGAGCTCGGCTCCCCACTCTCCCGGCCTCCGCCCGTCGCTCAGACCGCTCGAGTGAGTGGCACGCGCCGCTCTTTACGGGGAAATCCAATGCGGGGTTCACGGTGAATGGTTAACGGTGAATGGTTCACGGTGAATGGTTAACGGTGAATGGTTCACGGTGAATGGTTCACGGTGAATGGTTCACGGTGAATGTTTTAATGAATCGTGAACGGTTTTATCTCCGGCGGTCGCCCCGTCTCGCACCGATGCGACAGCTCGGGCCTCCCCGTGTCCCTCTCCCCGTGTCCCTCTCCCCGTGTCCCCCTCTCCCCGTGTCCCCCTCTCCCCGTATCCCCCTCTCCCCTCTCTCTCGTGTCCCCCTCTTCCCCCTCTCCCCGTGTCCCCCTCTCCCCGTGTTCCCCTCTCCCCGTGTCACCCTCTCCCCGTGTCCCCCTCTCCCCGTGTCCCCCTCTCCCCGTATCCCCCTCTCCCCTCTCTCTCGTGTCCCCCTCTCCCCCCTCTCCCCGTGTCCCCCTCTCCCCGTGTTCCCCTCTCCCCGTGTCACCCTCTCCCCGTGTCCCCCTCTCCCCGTATCCCCCTCTCCCCTCTCTCTCGTGTCCCCCTCTCCCCCCTCTCCCCGTGTCCCCCTCTCCCCGTGTGCCCCTCTCCCCGTGTCCCCCTCTCCCCGTGTCCCCCTCTCCCCGTGTCCCGTGTCCCCCTCTCCACGTGTCCCCCTCTCCCCACGTCCCCCTCTCCCCGTGTCCCCCTCTCCTCGTGTCCCGTGTTCCTCTCTCCCCGTGTCCCCCTCTCCCCGTGTCCCCCTCTCCCCGTGTCCCCCTCTCCCCGTGTCCCCCTCTCCCCGTATCCCCCTCTCCCCTCTCTCTCGTGTCCCCCTCTCCCCCCTCTCCCCGTGTCCCCCTCTCCCCGCGTCCCCCTCTCCCCGTGTCCCCCTCTCCCCGTACCCCTTCTCCTCTCTCTCTCGTGTCCCCCTCTCCCCGTGTCCCCCTCTCCCACGTCCCCCTCTCCCCGTGTCCCGTGTCCCCCTCTCCCCGTGTCCCCCTCTCCCCGTGTCCCCCTCTCCCCGTGTCCCGTGTCCCCCTCTCCCCGTGTCCCCCTCTCCCCGTGTCCCCCTCTCCACGTGTCCCCCTCTCCCCGTGTCCCCCTCATCCACGTGTCCCCCTCTCCCCGTGTCCCCCTCTCCCCGTGTCCCCCTCTCCCCGTGTCCCCCTCTCCCCGTGTCCCCCTCTCCCCGTGTCCCGTGTCCCCCTCTCCCCGTGTCCCCCTCTCCACGTGTCCCCCTCTCCCCGTGTCCCGTGTCCCCCTCTCCACGTGTCCCCCTCTCCCCGTGTCCCGTGTCCCCCTCTCCCCGTGTCCCCCTCTCCCCCCTCTCCCCGTGTCCTCCTCTCCCCGTGTCCCCCTCTCCCCGTATCCCCCTCTCCCCTCTCTCTCGTGTCCCCCTCTCCCCCCTCTCCCCGTGTCCCCCTCTCCCCGCGTCCCCCTCTCCCCGTGTCCCCCTCTCCCCGTACCCCCTTCTCCTCTCTCTCTCGTGTTCCCCTCTCCCCGTGTCCCCCTCTCCCCTCGTCCCCCTCTCCCCGTGTCCCCCTCTCCCCGTGTCCCCCTCTCCCCGTGTCCCGTGTCCCCCTCTCCCCGTGTCCCCCTCTCCCCGTGTCCCCCTCTCCACGTGTCCCCCTCTCCCCGTGTCCCCCTCTCCACGTGTCCCCCTCTCCCCGCGTCCCCCTCTCCCCGTGTCCCCCTCTCCCCGTGTCCCCCTCTCCCCGTGTCCCGTGTCCCCCTCTCCCCGTGTCCCCCTCTCCCCGTGTCCCGTGTCCCCCTCTCCACGTGTCCCCCTCTCCCCGTGGTCCCGTGTCCCCCTCTCCACGTGTCCCCCTCTCCCCGTGTCCCGTGTCCCCCTCTCCCCGTGTCCCCCTCTCCCCCCTCTCCCCGTGTCCCCCTCTCCCCGTGTCCCCCTCTTTCCGTGTCCCCCTCTCCCCGTGTTCCCCTCTCCCCGTGTCACCCTCTCCCCGTGTCCCCCTCTCCCCACGTCCCCCTCTCCCCGTGTCCCGTGTCCCCCTCTCCCCGTGTCCCCCTCTCCACGTGTCCCCCTCTCCCCGTGTCCCCCTCTCCCCGTGTCCCGTGTCCCCCTCTCCCCGTGTCCCCCTCTCCACGTGTCCCCCTCTCCCCGTGTCCCGTGTCCCCCTCTCCCCGTGTCCCCCTCATCCACGTGTCCCCCTCTCCCCGTGTCCCGTGTCCCCCCTCATCCACGTGTCCCCCTCTCCCCACGTCCCCCTCTCCCCGTGTCCCCCCTCTTCCCCGTGTCCCCTCTCCACGTGTCCCCCTCTCCCACGTCCCCCTCTCCCCGTGTCCCGTGTCCCCCTCTCCACGTGTCCCCCTCTCCCCGTGTCCCCCTCTCCCCGTGTCCCCCTCTCCCCCCCTCCTCCCCGTGTCCCCCCTCTCCCCGTGTCCCCCTCTCCCCGTGTCCCCCCTCTCCCCGTGTCCCCCTCTCCACGTGTCCTCGCCTCTCCCCGTGTTCCCCTCGTCCCCGTGTCCCCCTCTCCCCGTGTCCCCCTCATCCCCGTGTCCCCCTCGTCCCCGTGTCCCCCCCTCCCCCCGCTCCCCGTGGCCCCCTCTCCCCGTGTCCCCCTCTCTCCGTGTCCCCTCTCCCCGTGTCCCCCTCTCCACGTGTCCCCCTCTCCCCGTGTCCCGTGTCCCCCTCTCCCCGTGTCCCCCCTCTCCCCGTGTCCCCCTCTCCCCGTGTCCCCCTCTCCCGTGTCCCCCTCTCCCGTGTCTCCCCTTCCCCTCTCCCCCTCTCCCCGTGTCCCCCTCTCCCCGTGTCCCCCTCTCCCCGTGTCCCCCCTCTCCCCGTGTCCCCCTCTCCACGTGTCTCGCCTCTCCCCGTGTTCCCCTCTCCCCGTGTCCCCCTCTCCCCGTGTCCCCCTCTCCCCGTGTCCCCCTCTCCCCGTGTCCCCCTCTCCCCCCCTCTCCCCGTGTCCCCCTCTCCCCGTGTCCCCCTCTCGCCGTGTCCCCCTCTCCCCGTGTCCCCCTCTCCCCGTGTCCCCCTCTCCACGTGTCCCCCTCTCCCCGTGTCCCGTGTCCCTCTCTCCCCGTGTCCCCCTCTCCCCGTGTCCCCCTCTCCCCGTGTCCCCCTCTCCACGTGTCCCCCTCTCCCCGTGTCCCCCTCTCCCCGTGTCCCCCTCTCCACGTGTCCCCCTCTCCCCGTGTCCCCCTCTCCCCGTGTCCCCCTCTCCCCGTGTCCCCCTCTCCACGTGTCCCCCTCTCCCCGTGTCCCCCTCTCCCCGTGTCCCCCTCTCCACGTGTCCCCCTCTCCCCGTGGAAGGGATGGAGGGAAGAACGGCGCGCGGCGCTTTCCGTGATTCATGGAGGCCCCGCGTCTCGCGCCGCGCTGCCCACAACGGCGCGGCCATGCTCGTCGCTGCTGTGCCGGGCGGGGGGTAGCAGTAGGGGGTTGGGGGGGGGGGCGATGGGAGAGGGGGGCTCGCCGCAATCTCTGCGGCCCTGTACGTCTGAGCGGCGAGGTCGCGGAGTCAACCTGCCGAGCCAGGGAGAGCGAGCCGGTGGGCGGCTTCGGGAGCAGCCTCGTGGTGGTGGATGTCTGCAACGCTGTTGGCGAGTGGTCGGAACGCGCAGTGGCGTTGCTCTGTGGTCCATGGTTAGACATGTAGACTCACACAGACCCACAGACTCATACAAACTCACGCAAACCCACAGACCCACACAGACTCACAGACTCACACAGACCCACACAGACACACAGACCCACAGACTCACACAGACCCACACAGACCCACACAGACTCACACAGACCCACAAACTCACACAGACTCACACAGACCCACAAAGACTCACACAGACCCACAGACTCACACAGACTCGCGCGGAGACCCACATGCCCACATAGACCCACACAGACTCGCGCAGAGACCCACAGACTCACACAGAGCAGTATCAGTAAAAGACACACTGTATTTTATTTCCCGACATCGCATCAGCAGCATCGCCTCTGGGAGTGCATAATTTAAGAAACAATTGTTCACACGCGATCATAATTCTGGCCCAGTTTCAGGTTCGAACTGCTGCAGGGCAGTGCTGGGCTCACTGGCAATGGTGGTGGTACGATCCCGGCGACCCGAGTTCGATTCCCGCTCACGGCCAACCCCAGTGACGATTATCTGAACCGGTTTGGGGCCTCCCCCAGGTCGACTTAGCCGCAAATATGTGCCTGGTACGACATGTAAAACATCGCCGCTGGGTAGGCAAAGGCCGACGGGCGTGGTGCTGGCCACCAACCACCTGTGCCGACCTTCATAGAGGAGCTATTCGCTCACAGCACTTGCCCCAACAGTTCGTCAAGGCTACACGGGGGGTCTTTGTCTTTGTTGTTTGTTTGGGGAGTGCCACTTGGTGGCCAGAGCTGCGTGTCGGCGCCTCACGGTGCTGCGCCCGCCTGAGTGAGAGGGGGCATCGAGGAACGGCCTCCCCTCCCCTCCCTCCTTCCCCTCCCCCCCTACATCCCTCCTTCCCCTCCCCTCCTCTCCCTCCCCCTCCCCTCCCTCCCCTCCCTCCCTCCATCCCTCCCTCCCCAGCTCCATGATCACCGCCGTATATATATCCACCAGAATAGCTTCACCGAGTCTCAAGACTTTTTTTTTTCAAGAGGTCCCTGCAATTGGAACGCACTTTTTGCACAGACAGATTCAACAATCTACGGCGGTGCTAATTCCCCTGGCCACCCCTGCAGCCAAGGTCTTGTGTATTCTGCACGAGACCACCCGGCGTTCCCAGGCAGGCGGTCTCACACGGGCAGTCGGAACGAGACTCGCCGCTCGCGGGATGCGGGCGGTCTGACCGGAGTGGGCTTATCGCGCGTTGGGCAGCGTTCATCTTCATCCGAATCGCTTTGGTCGAAAGCGCGCGCGTTATCTTCCTCACCCACAAAGTCCGGTGACGAGCAGATCGACGTGGAGTGTCCGCCAGCCGCCCCCCCCCCCTCTCTGTCTCAGTCACAAAACGCCTCCTGTCGCGAGAGCGCGGCCAAAAGTGTGGCCGCCGGGGTGAACGGAGTTTGATGTTGCACCAGAAGCGCACTTCAAAGGCAGCGCATCATCACCACCACCACCAGCACGGCCAGCACGCAGGCGGCGGAGCCCTGCAGCGCCTCTCCCGGCGAGTTAACGAGGAGCCTCCCTCGGCGCGAGTCGCGATAACGCGGCCGCGGTGGCGATGGCATCACAGGCGGAGATGTCCCATCAACAATTCACGTCGCCAGGCCCCCCTCAACCCCCACCCCGCGCATCGAAGCTCCCTCGCTCCCTCGCTCTCTCCCTCGCTCGCCCGCGGCCCTGTGTCTGTGTGCACGAACCGGCGGCGATGTTTGTTTCATTGAGAGAGTTTGCCGACGCCTGGTGGGACGCGACGCGCCGGCGCAGTTGAGGCGGCCGTGGCTGTTTGCGAGGGGGGCGGTGGGAGGGGGGCGGTGGGGGTGGGGCGGTGGGGTGGGGGGGCGGTGGGAGGGGGCGGTGGGGTGGGGGGGGGGGCGGTGGGAGGGGGGCGGTGGGAGGGGGGCGGTGTGGATTGGCTGGAGCCAGACTGGAGACTGCTCCGTGCTGCGTGACGCTCCAGGCGCTCACCTGCAGGGCGCTCACTCGAATGACCCTCTCCGCCTCACCGGAACAATCCCCCGCCCGCTCATCTGAGCGAGGCGCGATGTGCGCGTGGGCCCCCAACGCGGCACATTTACTGGCTCGCTAGACGCGCAACGTCGGCCCAACGTCGGGCCAACGTCGGAGCAAACCGGTGGGTAGCCCCAGCTACTCTTGCCCGCACCTCCGACTATGACGGTTGGCTATGTACGGTGCGAAGGAAGTTCAGCATAGATACATAGTCTGTAGTTCACGTCGTATGTCCAGTGTGGCAGAGTAGCCCAGCGTTCCCTCTCGAGGGGATCAGTCAAGTGGGGGAGGCCTTTCCGCCAGCAGTGTCGCGAGAAAGCTGTCCCAGGGCCGCACCTTCACGGGAGTCAACCAAGGGGGTTCTGGCTTGTGTCCGTCCCGCAGGGCAGGGAGCGCGTCTCTCCGATGAGATGTTTACAAAAGCCCCGTGGGACATAGAGAAGTCGCGCTGATCCTGCGCGCACTCTCACACAGACACACACAGTCTGGTGCTGCTGTTGGCTTGTGGGGTGAGGAGGGGACAGGCCGGTCACTCGGGGCAGTACCGTGAAGGATACAACAAGGTCCCATGAAGGATCTGCGTCGCTTCTGAGTTGTTGGCCACGCGTGGTGATGATGCCCCAGCGGGTCGTGAAACCAGCTCCACGATATCCCCATGTGTGTCCAGTTGAATCGCTGCCTTGTCAAGAGGCATCGCTGTGACCGTTAACAAAAGTGAAGTGTGGGGTTTGAAAAACACAAGAATAGGGTTTTTACCCTTTCGGGCAATAAAACAGGAGTTGTGTTAAGATGTTCAAACACCAGAAGCCTTGTGCAAGTAATGGAGTCTGCATTAACCACACAGAGTACTTGTAGTGAATATGCAGAGATAACAATTAGATATGGCTTTGTCTTTGCAACTGATCACCGCAAGTGCTGTGGGTGGTTAATGCAGACTTGATTCCTTGCGAAAGGTTTCTATTTAATGTTTGAACATCTTAGCACTTGCTGTTTTATTGCCAAAAAGGGTAAGAACTATTCTGATGCTTTCCTACTTTGATAGTGGCAAAAAAAGGTCCATGTTGTGGGATTTGAGGAAGATGAGGTGAGGAGGAGGGTGAGGAGGAGGGTGAGGAGGAGGGTGAGGAGGAGGGTGAGGAGGAGGGTGAGGAGGAGGGTGAGGAGGAGGGTGAGGAGGAGGGTGAGGAGGAGGGTGAGGAGGAGGGTGAGGAGGAGGGTGAGGAGGAGGGTGAGGAGGAGGGTGAGGAGGAGGGTGAGGAGGAGGGTGAGGAGGAGGGTGAGGAGGAGGGTGAGGAGGAGGGTGAGGAGGAGGGTGAGGAGGAGGGTGAGGAGGAGGGTGAGGAGGAGGGTGAGGAGGAGGGTGAGGAGGAGGGTGAGGAGGAGGGTGAGGAGGAGGGTGAGGAGGAGGGTGAGGAGGAGGGTGAGGAGGAGGGTGAGGAGGAGGGTGAGGAGGAGGGTGAGGAGGAGGGTGAGGAGGAGGGTGAGGAGGAGGGTGAGGAGGAGGGTGAGGAGGAGGGTGAGGAGGAGGGTGAGGAGGAGGGTGAGGAGGAGGGTGAGGAGGAGGGTGAGGAGGAGGGTGAGGAGGAGGGTGAGGAGGAGGGTGAGGAGGAGGGTGAGGAGGAGGGTGAGGAGGAGGGTGAGGAGGAGGGTGAGGAGGAGGGTGAGGAGGAGGGTGAGGAGGAGGGTGAGGAGGAGGGTGAGGAGGAGGGTGAGGAGGAGGGTGAGGAGAAGAGTGAGGAGAAGAGTGAGGAGGAGGGTGAGGAGGAGGGTGAGGAAGAGGGTGAGGAAGAGGGTGAGGAGGATGAAGGTGAGGATGAGGAGGTGGAGGAGGATGAGGGTGAGGGTGAGGAGGAGGGTAAGGAGGAGGGTGAGAAGGGTGAAGATGAGGTGAGGAGGGTGAGAAGGAGGGTGAGGATGAGGGTGAGGAGGAGGGTGAGGAGGAGGAGACGCTGACGTTGGACGCCGCTGTGTGCAGGAGCGCTGTGTGCAGGACAGCTGTGCCAGGCCCCAGGACGCTGCTCCGCTCGTCGGGGCTCTGCTCGGCGACCTCGTGGGGCTGCTGCTGCGACTCGCGGAGGAGGACAATGACACCGTGAAGGTGACGCGCGCGCACAATGGACAAAGTTCAAGACCCCTCCCCCCCCGTGTAGCCTTCACAGACTGTTGGGGCAAGTGCTTTTAGCGAGCGCCTGTGAAGGCCGGCACGGCACGCGAAGGGGTGGGTGGCCAGCACCACTGCCGGCCGCCCCTGTGTCTCCCAAGCGGCGATGTTTACTCACCGCGCCAGGCCCTGTGTTGACCTCGGTGTAGGCCCAGAACAGGTTCAAATATTGGCCCCTGTTTTTGATCGTGAGTGGGAATCGAACTCGAGTCGCTGGGTTCGTGGCGCAGCGCCCTGACCGCTACGTTACCGGTAGCAGGACAAACTGAGGTACACACACACCCACACACACAATTGCACTCGCTTGCACCTACCTATTCACACCAATTACACTCCTAATAGCAAGCAATTTTCGTGAGCGCATTTTAAGGCCACACACACACACACTCTCTCTCTCCTACCTACCTACGCTCACTCACCTGTCTCCTCACAACCAAGCACCCAGCCACTCACCCCGCTCTGTCACACGTACACATGCATAAACAAATATCTCCTGTGTAGCCTTAACAGACTTTTGGGGCAAGTGCTGTTAGTGAGCAACTATGAAGGCCGGCACGGTGCGCGAGGGGGTGTCAAGGACCACGTCCGGCCGCCTTTGTCTCCCCAATGGTGACGTTTACACATCGCACCAGGTACTCATTTGAGACGGAGTCGTACTAGGGGAGGCCCAGGACCGATTCAAATAATTGTCACTGGTGGTGTTGGCCATGCGCGGGAATTGAACTCGGGTGGCCGGGTTCGTAGCGCAGTGCGCTGACCACTGCACCACCGCTCCCCTCAATGTTTTATGGGCGTGCACAACACAGAGATAAATATCCCCCACATCGCCTTGGCAGACTGTTGTGGCAAGTGCTGTTGTTCGTGTGCAATCACACGCGCACACACACTCGCACGAGCTTACTCCCTCTGTGCGAGGAGGAGGAGGTGCCATCGTGATTTTTCACTGAAAGTAAACTAAAAGTTGGGTCATCTTGACCACTACCACCACCACCGCGAGTGTTTATAACAAGCGTGACACGGTGTGCGCCGAGCGTTCGCACAAATAACGAGTAGCGCATTCGGGAAGCGGGCACAGGGCAGGTCAGCAGCGATCACGGCGATAATACTAATCACGCTGTTTAATATATAGATAGATAGCTGCATCACGCGTGACCAACTCGCACACACCCACTCACCTACACGCACACACGCACACAGCAACGTGCACTCACCTATGTACCGACCCGCACACACCCACCTCCACGCCCCGCACACTCAGATACGGGCTCTCTGTACGCGCGGTTTTAAACGCGCACAACAAACTCCTCGCCGGCATCCTCTCTCGTAGTCTCATCGGCGGCGTGTTGCTGCCTGGTTCGTCTCTCCGTGCTGGCGTGGTGACAGAGGCACGGGGAGGGGGTGGGGGTGGATCTCTCCGTGCTCCGCGTGTCGCGCTGTGCGTGGAGTGACCCCCTCTCGCCCTCTCACTCGCGGCCGTGCCCCCCCCCCTCACCCCCCACGAGCCGCGTTAAGTAAGCGCCTTCCCGTCGGGACGGGAGCCGCTAAACGGGGGGGGCAGGGAAGGGGGGCGAGGGAGGGGGGGGGCGAGGGAAGGGGGGCGAGGGAAGGGGGGCGAGGGAGGGGGGGGCGAAGAGGGGGGGCGAGGGAGGGGGGGCGAGGGAGGGGGGGGGCTGCTGCCGCCGCCGTCATCGTCCTCGCCCCCGCCCGCCACCCGACTCGGTTCAACCCCCGCCGCCGCCGCCGCCGCCGCCACGTGTGGGGAGCCTGTGGCCTGCGGTGAGCGCGGTTGGCTACGTACGGTGCGAAAGAAGTTCAGCGTGCTCCGGTGCCCAGTACTGCCCGCGACTCCGCTTCAGACGACTCGATTTCACGCGGCCCACGACTTCGTTTCACCAGGCGCTGGGTGGATCGCGACATCATGGGAACGTGAGAGATGGTGATGGCTTGGGTCGGTGTCTATCCAGCAGTGGGTAGATCATGACTGCTGCTGCTGATGATATAAAGATTGGTAATGACGGATGGCTGCACCGTGGGGGGTTACAGGGGCTGGAGTGTGATATCTGTCTTGTAGACGCAGAGCGAGTTTGGTGCCCTGGGGGGCCATACAGCACGCATTGAAGAAAAAGACTTCAAAGTTAAGGTCAAATGTGCCATCAGAGAGCACTCGAAGGGTGTCACCCAATCACGGTTTATGATAGAACGCCGGTCTTGGGACAGTTGGGACGACGATTCGTCGATTAAGTAAAATCGCGTGACCAGATCACTTCAATTCCTGCCTCCCTGCACTGGCTCCCTGCAAAGTACAGGTCCATCTTCTTCTCACGTTGTAAGGCTTAAGTTTTATATTCCGCTGCGTCTTGTTGTTCGCTGGGAGAAGGCGGAGGTGATCACAGCCAGGCTCTCAGATTGTGGAATTCCACGCAATTCCTTCCTCGGTCCATTGCAGGAATCTTGAGGTTCAAGGTTCGGGCAAGGTTCAAGGTTCACTTTGTGAACCTTGAACCTTGCCGGATTTTACAACGGACTGGCTCCGTGGCGCCACGAGCTTAAAGTGAAGCGTGCTGAGACGTCGCCTTGAGACGTCGCGTTGAGACGTCGCGTTGAGACGTCGCCCTGAGACGTCGCCTTGAGACGTCGCCTTGAGACGTCGCCCTGAGACGTCGCCTTGAGACGTCGCGTTGAGACGTCGCCCTGAGACGTCGCATTGAGACGTCGCGTTGAGACGTCGCCTTGAGACGTCCCCCTGAGACGTCGCGTTGAGACGTCGCGTTGAGACGTCGCGTTGAGACGTCGCCCTGAGACGTCGCGTTGAGACGTCGCGTTGAGACGTCGCGTTGAGACGTCGCCTTGAGACGTCGCCCTGAGACGTCGCGTTGAGACGTCGCGTTGAGACGTCGCGTTGAGACGTCGCCTTGAGACGTCCCCCTGAGACGTCGCGTTGAGACGTCGCGTTGAGACGTCGCGTTGAGACGTCGCCTTGAGACGTCGCCCTGAGACGTCGCCTTGAGACGTCGCGTTGAGACGTCGCGTTGAGACGTCGTCTTGAGACGTCGTCTTGAGACGTCGCCTTGAGACGTCGCCCTGAGACGTCATCTTGAGACGTCGTCTTGAGACGTCGTCTTGAGACGTCGCCTTGAGACGTCGCCCTGAGACGTCATCTTGAGACGTCGCCCTGAGACGTCGCGTTGAGACGTCGCGTTGAGACGTCGCCTTGAGACGTCGCGTTGAGACGTCGCGTTGAGACGTCGTCTTGAGACGTCGTCTTGAGACGTCGCCTTGAGACGTCGCCCTGAGACGTCATCTTGAGACGTCGTCTTGAGACGTCGCCCTGAGACGTCGCGTTGAGACGTCGCGTTGAGACGTCGCCTTGAGACGTCCCCCTGAGACGTCGCGTTGAGACGTCGCGTTGAGACGTCGCGTTGAGACGTCGCCCTGAGACGTCGCGTTGAGACGTCGCCTTGAGACGTCGCCCTGAGACGTCGCGTTGAGACGTCGCGTTGAGACGTCGCGTTGAGACGTCGCCTTGAGACGTCCCCCTGAGACGTCGCGTTGAGACGTCGCGTTGAGACGTCGCGTTGAGACGTCGCCTTGAGACGTCGCCCTGAGACGTCGCCTTGAGACGTCGCGTTGAGACGTCGCGTTGAGACGTCGTCTTGAGACGTCGTCTTGAGACGTCGCCTTGAGACGTCGCCCTGAGACGTCATCTTGAGACGTCGTCTTGAGACGTCGTCTTGAGACGTCGCCTTGAGACGTCGCCCTGAGACGTCATCTTGAGACGTCGCCCTGAGACGTCGCGTTGAGACGTCGCGTTGAGACGTCGCCTTGAGACGTCGCGTTGAGACGTCGCGTTGAGACGTCGTCTTGAGACGTCGTCTTGAGACGTCGCCTTGAGACGTCGCCCTGAGACGTCATCTTGAGACGTCGTCTTGAGACGTCGCCCTGAGACGTCATCTTGAGACGTCGCCTTGAGACGTCGTCTTGAGACGTCGCCTTGAGACGTCATCTTGAGACGTCGTCTTGAGACGTCGCCTTGAGACGTCATCTTGAGACGTCGTCTTGAGACGTCGCCCTGAGACGTCATCTTGAGACGTCGCCTTGAGACGTCGTCTTGAGACGTCGCCTTGAGACGTCCTCTTGAGACGTCGCCTTGAGACGTCGCCTTGAGACGTCGCCTTGAGACGTCGCCCTGAGACGTCATCTTGAGACGTCGCCTTGAGACGTCGTCTTGAGACGTCGCCTTGAGACGTCGCCTTGAGACGTCGCCTTGAGACGTCGCCTTGAGACGTCGCCTTGAGACGTCGTCTTGAGACGTCGCCTTGAGACGTCGCCTTGAGACGTCGCCTTGAGACGTCGCCTTGAGACGTCGTCTTGAGACGTCGCCTTGAGACGTCGCCTTGAGACGTCGTCTTGAGACGTCGTCTTGAGACGTCGTCTTGAGACGTCGCCTTGAGACGTCGTCTTGAGACGTCGTCTTGAGACGTCGCCTTGAGACGTCGCCTTGAGACGTCGCCTTGAGACGTCGCCTTGAGACGTCGCCCTGAGACGTCATCTTGAGACGTCGTCTTGAGACGTCGTCTTGAGACGTCGCCCTGAGACGTCGTCTTGAGACGTCGCCTTGAGACGTCGCCTTGAGACGTCGCCCTGAGACGTCATCTTGAGACGTCGCCTTGAGACGTCGTCTTGAGACGTCGCCTTGAGACGTCGCCTTGAGACGTCGCCCTGAGACGTCGTCTTGAGACGTCGTCTTGAGACGTCGCCTTGAGACGTCGCCTTGAGACGTCGCCTTGAGACGTCGTCTTGAGACGTCGCCTTGAGACGTCGTCTTGAGACGTCGTCTTGAGACGTCGTCTTGAGACGTCGCCTTGAGACGTCGCCTTGAGACGTCGCCTTGAGACGTCGTCTTGAGACGTCGTCTTGAGACGTCGCCTTGAGACGTC